TTTTTTTATCCTCTGGTACTGAGGATTGAACCCAAAGCCTCAGAAATGCTAGGCAAGTGCTCTACCACTGACCTCTATCTCCTATCTCCAGCCTTTTTTATTTTTTACTTTGAGATAGGATCTCCATAAGTTCCCTCGGCTAACCTTGGACTTGAAGTCCTCCTGCCTCAGCCTCTGAAATAGCTGAACCACTGCACTGGGCAATAGCTGCGCTCTTTTCTTGCTTGTCTTTTTTTTTCTTTTTCTTTTTGTATTTTAGGTAAGGGCCTACAGGGTGTTAAGAGTCTCACTACTAGATCGGACTCATAGTGATCTGCCTATTTACAGCCTCCCAAGAGCTGTACCACCATGCCCAGTCTCAATCACCATCTCAGCACGCACCACCATGCCCAGTCTCAATCACCATCTCAGCATGCCCCGGGGGCTTGCAGGCGCTTTAATCCACTGAGCTATTCGGCTGGCCCTTTTCTTGTCTTTTTGAGACAAGTTCTCACTGTGTAGTTCAGGCTGGCCTGGAACTCATTTTGTGGCACGGGTTGGCCTTGAACTTGCAGCGACCCTCTTGTGTCAGCCTCCTGAGTCCTGGAAGGACAGGTGTGTGCTGCTGTGCCTGGCAACAACTGTGCTCTGAGCCAACATATCACCTTCTCTCAAAGCACAGCCAGGCAGATGTCCAGGACAGCATTCTGTCCTCACAGATGCAAGAGGGACATAGTAGTCCTCCTTGGGCCCATTAGGAACTTTGTGCTGCAGGGAGGGAGGGAAGGAGAAGCGGAAGCACAAAGCAAAGGTGTTAATAACAGCTGGCAGAGCTGACTTGCGTCTCTGGTCTACCCCCAGATCGCCCCAAGGAGGTGACTGTAGTGACTCAGAACTCCACCCTGATTCGAGAAGGAGACAGTGTGAAGCTGTTCTGTAGATACCACTCCAGTAACCCGGATGTTACCCATTATTACTGGAAGCACGGAAACTTCTGGAATGAGACATACACTGAACAACTGTTGGTTTATAAGGTTGCCTGGAACACCCCACCTGTCGCCTGCAAAGCCTGTAACCAGTGGTGTTCAGAGTCATCTCCCATCAACCTGGGTGTCCAGTGTGAGTGACAGGGAAGGGAACCCGGGAGGTGGCCCCCAGGGACTCTGGGGATTGAAAGGTAAGAAGTGGGAGCCTGGCCTACCATCTTCAACAGAAAATTGAGAGGGGTAAGAGCCAGACCCAGGGACAAGGGCACAGGAAATGCTGGGGTCCCAAAATGGGAAGAGACAGGGGACTTCAGCCTAGATCCTGCCCTGCAGATGCCCCCAGAGATGTGAAGATTCTGCAGCTCAAACCCAGCTCAGAGATCCAAGCTGGGAACCAGGTCTTCCTCCAATGTGACTTCTCACAGAGCAACCCCAAAGACGTCCGCTTCATCTGGAAGAAAAATGGAAGTCTTCTCAAAGAGGGAAAAGAACTCATTTTTGACTCCATATCCCCAGAAGATGCTGGAGATTACAGCTGTTCAATCAGTAACTCCATAGGACAGAGCACATCGAAGACCCGGAAGCTCCAAGTGCTGTGTGAGTGGCAGGAACTGGAGGCTGGGACTGGAGAAGGGCGGGTGACCGGCCGCACAGGCTCTGACTCAGTTTCCCTTACAGATGCACCCCGGAGGCTGCGTGTGTCCTTCAGCCCAGCAGACAGTGTGATGGAGGGGAGGGAGGCGGCTCTGACTTGCGAGAGCGATGCCAACCCTCCCGTGTCACACTACAGCTGGTTTGACTGGAATAACCAAAATCTCCAGTACAATGGTCAGACACTGAGGCTGGAGCCTCTGCAGATCAAGCACTCAGGCTCCTACTGGTGCCAGGGATCCAACAGGCTGGGCGAGGGCAAGTCTCCCCCCAGCACGCTCACCGTCTACTGTAAGTCCCTGGCTTCTTCTCAGCTGTGCTTCTGTCCTGGCTACCCCTTCAGCTTCTGCCCAAATTCATTCTCTTCTCTCCTCTCTCTCTCTCTCTCTCTCTCTCTCTCTCTCTCTCTCTCTCTTTCTTTCTCCCCCCACCCCCCCTGCTCCTTTAAGCAAGATAATACAAGTACATGGTAACAACAAATTTCATGCTTAATAGGGTAAATATGCAGACAGACCCTCTCACTCTTGTCCCTGAGAACTTGAGCCCCCTCCCCGGGAGCAGCCTGTCAGCTCTCTGCACAGGGACACATTTCCCACACATGCTCCATGAGCCTACACAGATCCACATCAACGCCTCCTTCCTCATTTTACAAATGGTAGCAGAGCCCTGGGCTTCTCTTTTTCACCTGTAATCAGAAGTCTTGGAGGCTGTCCTACGCGTATATGGTGGCTAGAGGCGATGGTGCTTCCTCAGGCGCATGGCTGCCGTCATGGCCTTACAGATAGGGAGTCACCCTGCATGGCCAGAGGAAAGCAGGCTAGAGGAGAGGATCCTGGGCCTGCCCTTGGGAAGCTCACTGCGCACCGCATCCACCCTGTGCCTGGGACTCCCCCTTCTCAGGTTCCAGAGCTCTGCCTCCTTCTCAGGGTTTCTCTGTGTGCCCAGAGTGAGCGCAGCTCACCTCACCTCTCCTATACCCTCCTCAAGGCCGAAGTGTGTGGTTTTTGCTCTGGGAGCACTTCTGCAAGGACAGGTGCAGGACGTGTCCTTACCTGGAATTTCTGGGTCCAAGGCGGGGAGCATTTTAGGTTCTAATGGTCTGGTCAAACTCCCCTGATGGCTGTACCTGTTCATGAGGCAGGAAGTAACAGCTCCATGTGGGCTCCTGCTCCGAGGAAAGATGTAGGCCTTACTCCCACCAGGAGGTCCTGAGGCCTGGGGCTGCTTCTACCTCTTTTACTGCATCCATGTCCCATGTTGGTGGGAGAAGACAAGCAAGACCAGGACTGGAGACCTGGGCCATGAGTCCCAGGCCAGTGCCACGCAGCACAGTGACTGTGTCCCCTCCTTTCTCCACCAGACAGCCCAGAGACCCTTGGCAAGCGAGCAGCCATAGGGATCGGGTCCTGCCTGGGCATCGTCATTCTGGCCATCTGGGGAGTGAAGTTTCAACAACAGTGAGCTTTCCCCCTGCCCTCCCTGGGTGCACCCCCAAGCTCTCCCCTGCAGAATTGGTGTGCCCCTCTTCCTGTTCCCTGGATTCACAGAGCCTTTGCTTTTTAGCAGGAAGCGGGCACAGAGCCGGCAGGGGCTTCAGGAAACTTCCAGTAGTCAGAGTTTCTTTGTGCGGAATAAAAAGGTAGGAATGCAGGGGAGCCTTTGAGGACCCTGGGTGAAGAAGGGGGATAAAAGCCCTCTATGGAGTCAGAAGCCTGGGAGGGAACTGGGTGAGGAGAGAGTCAGAGCCCCTCTCTGTTTCTCTCCCAGGTTAGAAGGGCGCCCCTCTCGGAAGGCCCTCACACCTTGGGATGCTACAATCCGGCAATAGAAGACAGCATCAGCTACGCCACCTTGCACTTTCCCGAGACAGATGCACCGAGATCTGGGTACTGAAGGAGCTGCAGGGTGGCACCCTGGGAGGGATGTGGGAGAGGAAGGCTCCTGTCCTGCCTGCCAGACACAGCCAGGTGCTCATGATAACACTGGAGGATGTGGGGACAGTCTTAGGAATGGGGGCTGTTTCCCCAAGTCAGGGGCACCTGTGTCTGGAGTTGGCCTTGGCCTCTTCATTAGCTCCTGATGTAAGCACTGGGCACCCCAGACACGAGTCGATTTCCCTTGAGCTCAGGAGGCCGGGGTCCTGCTGGAGCCCTGCGGGAGTCAGCACAAGGAAGTTCCTGGGAAAGGTTCCATTTATGGCCATTTATCCGCTCTCTTGCTCAGAGATGCAGGGACCTCTGAAATGCAGACACCTCTCCCACATAGCGACTACGCGGTCACATACTCAGTGGTGGAGAATCGTCATGTGGTAAGCAGGCAGGACTGCAGGGGTGGGCAGACCTGGAGCTGGTCTCAGCTGGGAGGCCCTTGCAGAAGGGCTCAAACAGGTGTCTACATTGACTCAGGCTGGGTGTCACCTGGGGAGGGTTGCTGGTTTAGTCTGTGTTTGTTGCTGTAACTAAACACCTGAAACTGGATCATTTATAAAGTGAAGAGGCTTGTGGTTCTCATAGACCAAGATTAAGGGGCTGTATCTGATGAAGAATTTCTTCCTGGTGGGGACTCTACAGTCTTGAGGTGGCACAAAGAATGGATCAAGGGTGTCAGGGAGATTTACTTATTTATTTACTTATAGTACTAGGGATTGCATGCAGGGCTTTTGCACCGAGCTACTTCTCCAGCCCTTTCAAATAGTTTTTTTTTTTTTTTTTTTGATACAAGTTCTTGCTAAATTGCTAAGCTGCCCATGAGAAGCCCAAACCTGTGCTCTTCCTGCCTCGGCCTCCTGGAGTGCTGGGGCTTCAGCTGTGTACTGCTGTGCCTGTCCAGAGCTCAGTTTTATAGCTCAGTTTTTCTCTCCATTAGCCTATTGATCAGTCAACCCATCAACCCCATCACTTCCCAAAAGCTCTACTTTCAAATGCCATCAACAGATGACTTTGGGGATTAAATGTCCCCCATAGGGGACGCATTCAAATCACAGCAGTTGCTTAGGCAGAGCTGCATCCAGAGCCAGAGAAGATGCCTCTGTTTCTGAGGGGCCAAGCGCTGCCAGTGTCTGGATAAGATGGCTCGGCTTGGGCTTGGCCCCCCAGGCGAGGGGAGGACAGAAGGGCCGCAGGCTGAGGATGGGAGCTTGGCTAGGGCAGTTCAGGCTCAACACAACGCTGCCTTCTCAGGGTGACTACGAAAACGTGGTGCCGGATCTTTCAGAAGACGAGGGGATCCATTATTCAGAGCTGGTGAGGTTTGGTGCTGCAGAACGCTCCCAGGCACATGAAGACGTGGAATATGTGGCCCTTAAGCACTGATGCTGGAGCCAGCTGCATTGAAAATGTCTGGGGCTGATGGAGCCATGAAGTCCCAGCTGCCCCCAGCTGGGGCTCACTCACCACCTACCCCACCCCAGTCACTGTGGAGAACTTGGGCTGGCCCAGAGCCAGCCCTCCTTCTGGGCACTGATGACCCCCATCCCCCAAAAGCCTGTCCCTGCCCTTCTCTCTTTCTCACCTGGAAACTCACCTACAGGCCCACCCTCTGCTGTACAGCCTCCAGCCCCAGCGGTCTGCCCCCATCTACCCACTCCCACTCCCTGCCCCAGCTTCCTGTGTCCATGCTGGGAGCCACATATGTCACTAAGTTTTCTTCTTCCCTTCCCCCCACTCACGGATTTGAAATTCAATCTCTGCCCCTCGGGGAATTCCGAGGAAGGACAGAAATGAGGTAGTAAGAAGCACTGTCCCCAGCTGGCTTCTCCTCAAGAAATGTGACTGCCAACAAGCGAGGCTGCCGTGCAGAGGATGACACTGCAGCAGCCCTGCCCTCAGGTCCCAGGGGCTGAGCAGACTATGGATGAGGACACACACCACAGAGAAAGCGCTGCACAATAAAAATGGCGCAGGTGCCACTTCTAAGAATGAGCGAATGCTTTTCCATTAGTGGAGTCAGAGCAAGGTTAGGGAGAGGGGGATGACACCGTGGCGGAAAGGGAGCTGTGGTTATTTTGCGACCCTGTCAGCAGGCTGAAGGATCTGTGGCCGTGTTGCCTGGCTTTGCAGCTGGACCGCGTGAGTTTGTGTCTTGGTTCTTCCACTTAACCAGCCGTGGGACCTTGTCCAGCTTTTGCTGACAAACCAGAGCTTTAGCTTCTCCCCTGTGACATGGAGATGCCACTCCACAGCATGCAGGTGGCTTAAGACTTTTGTTTTTACTCTGGCTAATGTGGATCGATCCCAGGTCTTTCACACTGGACTACATCCCCAGCCCTCTTTTATTTTGTGAGAAAGTACAGGACGTTTGGTCTGATCTTATACATGTTGACCACATTACAAAAGGTGTAGTACAGAAACTTGAAGTCCTAAAAAAAAGTCCCTTTTTTACATAAAGCATGTTAAAAAAAAAAAAAAAAGAAGAAGAAGAAGAAGCCAATTTAGTATTCACAGCTATTCTCAAAAGGGGACCTACCAAATTCTTTCACAATCACAGCTGCAAAAAACTCAAAGGCCATTTGCCCAGAGAAACCTGATGGCTGTCTTGTCACTCACTGTCACTCTCTTCCCAGTTCCCTGTTGCATGCACTGATTCAGATGTGGGTGTTCCTAGTCCCTTCCTCTGCTCAGCTTAAACTCCCTACTCATTTGCCTGCCCAGTGAAGGGACTAAGGCCCCCTTTTTCTCAGAGAGCAGAGATGTGTGCTTAACAAACCTTCAATAAGATGCGCATACAAGATGCACCAACTCCTACTGGCTCCCCAAGAAGGGCCAGACTTCCTTCCTTGTCCCTCCTTTCCATCTCTGCTCCATCCTAGAATGGCAATTCTTAGAATGATGGCAGAAGGGTCCTCTGCTTTTACCATCAATCAATCCACTTTGTTCCCAGTTGGAGTTCCCATGAGCACCATTAATATTGCAGGACTTTGAAAAGTATTTGGATGAGAGAAGGAAGTTTGGTGTTTATGTACCTAAAAATGAAGCCCACTGTCATCTAATCGTCCATTTATTTTATTTTTTTTTTTAAATTTTATTTATTTGTGTGTGTGTGTGTGTGTGTGTGTGTGTGGCCAGCTCAGCCCATCAGGGGGCGGGGCTGGCTGGCATGTGGTGCTGGGGGATTGAACCGCAGTCCATATGCTTTGTTGCAGCTTGTTCTAAGTAGGTGCCTTAGACCACTGAGCCATCTCACCAGCCCCCGTCCATTTATTTTATAAGGGCAGGCATCTACTGAACATTAATTAATGCACCCTGTTCAGAGTCTGTTGTTAGGGGACAAGAACGATAGGACCAGAACCATTCTGGGAGGTCTCTAGTGTAGTCTAGGGTACCCAAAGGTTCACAGGAGGCCCTGGAGGGAGCTGAAGGAAACCCTGATGAGGCTCCTAGCAACCACTGGGTGCCTTTCCATCCTGTCCCGGAGCCCAGCTGCTGACATGAACTGACTTTATGAGCCACTGACCATGAGATGCGGCTGTCAACAGACATTGCTGAGGCGTGACGAGCAGGTGGCCAGGAAGCTTGGAGGCCCCGGACTTGAGAACACAGGCAGCCTCCACCCGTTCCTCTGTGCTGGAGGTCTCTCACCATCCTCCAGGGCCCAGAGCAACTACTGTGACCATGCTCAGGCAAATTGAACCAAAGTCTTTGCTCTCTTAAGGCCACGATCCTAGCAGAGAAGCTGGTAAACACCATGTCAAAGAGCCGCAGGAGATTTAAATGGGCATAAGGATGAATACAGGAGGGGCTGGGGAGATGGCTCAGTGGAATAAGCACTTCCCTGGCAAGCGCAAGGGCCTGAGTTCAATCCCCAGTTCTGCCAAAAAAAAGAAAAAAAAAAAAAAAGAATGAATACAGGAAAGGAGATGGGTTCAGAGAGAGCAATTACAAAGGCCCTCTGAGCAGGTGTCACTGCACAGGAGCTGAACTGCGCATGGCTGGGACCGAAGCAGAGATCTGGAAGACCCGTTCTCTCCCTTGAGCTCTGTTTTCTCCTAGCAATGGTCATGGAGGTAACATGGCACTCTGATCCTTTTCTCAGTTCTCTTAGTTTCTCAGTGTTCCCAGAGACAAAATAACAACAGGCATTACGTATTTCTATGTTCACAGCGAGGTGTCTACCAGGGCATCAGGGGAGGAAAAAATCAATCTTACGAACTGGAGGTCTGAGGAGGAAGTTTGATACTTTCTTGGGAGGAAGGTATTCTACACTGAGGACCATGCTGCAGGCAGCCTGGGGAGAGGAGTTGCTTATGGGTGACTTGGGATTTGGGAGGGGCAGAGTACTCTGGTGACCAACGCATGCCCCTAAGAAGTCTGAAGCTGAAGAACTGTGATGTCACTTTGAGGTGGCAGACAGAGAGAGAGAGAACATTTTAAATTTTGCTTAGAAAGTCTTTCTATGGGGCTGGTAAGATGGCTCGGTGGTCTAAAGCACTTACTTAGAACAAGCTAAGCTAAGCAAAGCACGAGGACCACAGTTCGATCCCCCAGCACCACATGCTGGCCAGCCCCCGCCCCCTGGTGGGCTGAGCTGGCCACACACACACAAATAAATAAATAAATAATAAAAGGAAAAAAAAAAAAAAAGAAAGTCTTTCTAGAAAGACAAGATGACCCCATGGGCCCCATGGGGAGACAAGTGGCCAGCTGGATTCCCAGCACTGAGAGCAACGAGATAAGCAACTGCCTGTCCCCACAAAGCACATCTACATGTCCTCCCCCCAGAACCCAGGGAGTAATTGACTTCAACATCCATGCCCCTCAGAGAGAGGATAGGCTGACTGCTCCAGGGCCAAGCCCAAGATTCTGACTGGATTCTGACTGGTCCTTTCCCCTTTCTTCTTCCGCCTTCTGCCAACACTGCAGAGGTCAGAAACCACTATCACCGAACCAGAAGGGAAAGGAGAGGGAGGCGGAAGAGCCCTGTCTTGGGGAAAAGGCAACCGCAGCTGATGCAAGCTGTCCGTTGGGCTGATTCTATCATTAACTCACTTTTCTGTTGATAATGATGATGGCTTGGAGGGCTGAAGTCGCAGGAAAACAACGCTACTGAGGTGTGAGCTGACACCAGGGCTAGGATCTGCCCTTGCTTTTGCCCAGCAGATGGGGGAGATGTGGTCCCCAGGGCGGGACTGAGCAGGCAGTGCATGAGTGGACAGGGCACAGAGGTGTGCTCTGACTGCACCCCACAAACCCTGCCCCCTCAAGGCACTGACTGCATAGACCTCATCTGATCAGGCAAAGCCCCCATTCCTACCCACACCCCCTCTATGTCCCAGCATCTTCCTGGACCCCTCACATCCTGTAGCCCAGCCTCAGTTCCAGCCCAGGATGCCCCATTAGCTGCTCACCCAAGCTGCTAGTGCCTCAGCTAATGGCCCTGCCACCCCGCCCTTCCTTCCCTTCCAGCTCACTGACCATTCTGGGCATCCTCTTGACAGCTGGGTGAGGGGACTTCTGAGCCTCAGAAACATCTGGCAGCATCAAGAGGTGAGTCCCTCTTTCTGTGGTTCCTCTCTTCACCGACAACTATTCCCCAAACTCCCAGGTCTTCCCACCCTGGGTGACCCCTGAGATCTCAGGTTGTACCCCAGGACACTGAGGTGACCTGGTTTATCCCTGGGCTCTCCCCTGGGGCCCCCTTTGTCCACCCCTCTGCCTGGTATACCTTGTATTGTACCCAAACTCTGACTTCTCTTCTTCTGAGATATGGGTCCCCCACATGTTCCACATAGTGAGGAGCAACTTCCCTTGCTGGGGAATGGGGGAGGCAGTGAACCCAGGGCTCTTATCCCATGCCCCATGTTCTCCACCAACCCTGCCCTGAGCTCTCCCCCATCTCTCTCCCAGAGTCTCAGGAATCAGACGCGGTCTCTTTTCTGGGACAGCACACCTGTATTCTGTCTTTCTTCATTACACCGCAATTGCTCCCTTCCTCATATGAGGTCACATGGTGCGAAGACGGCTGAGGACCAAAGGCTAGAAGTTCTCGTTCCTGACCCAGCCCCAACCACCTCCTGCCGCGGGCCTCCACTTCGCCCAGTGTCTCACAATCTGGCTGCTGACCTCCAGGCCGTGGGGAAGCCAGCGTGGGATTCCAGGAGCTCCTCCTGCCCCGGCCGGCAGTCTGGGGACAGGGAGCACGGGGCTCGCAGAAGCAGAGGCGGCCACCTCCTCCAGCCCCATGGACTTGCCTCCGCAGCTCTCCTTCGCCTTCTACGTGGCCGCCTTTGCGCTGGGCTTCCCGCTCAACGTGCTGGCCATCCGGGGCGCGGCCGCCCATGCGCGGCTCCGCCTCACCCCCAGCTTGGTCTACACTCTCCACCTGGCCTGCTCTGACCTGGTGCTGGCCATCTCTCTGCCCCTGAAGGCGGTGGAGGCCCTGGCCTGGGGGGCCTGGCCCCTCCCGGCTGTACTCTGCCCTATCTTTGCCCTGGCCCACTTCGCCCCGCTCTACGCCGGCGGTGTGTTCCTGGCTGCTCTGAGTGCTGGGCGCTACTTGGGGGCCGCCTTTCCCCTGGGCTACCAAGCCCTCCGGAGGCCGCGCTATTCTTGGGGGGTGTGCGTAGCCATCTGGGTCCTGGTCCTCTGTCACCTGGGAGTGGTTCTCATGTTAGAGGCTCCAGGAGGTTGGCTGCACAATAGTACCACCTCGCTGGGCATCGACAAACCAGTTAATGGCTCCCCTGTGTGCCTGGAGGCCTGGGACCCCAGTTCCGCCGGCCCCGCCCGCCTCAGTTTCTCTCTGCTGCTCTACTTCGTGCCCTTGATCATCACGGCCTTCTGCTACGTGGGCTGCCTCCGGGCTCTGGTCCATTCAGGCCTGAGCCACAGGCGGAAGGTAAGGGCAGCCTGGGTAGCTGGCGGAGCTCTGCTCACTCT